ATAATAATATTAATATCAATAATAACATGACAAAATCAGGCAGAATGTTGCTATTTTAATATTGATGTAACCCTAGTAATAAATGAAATAAACCAATATTAAAACACAGACCTGTAAACCAAACCATACCAACTAAACACATAAAATGCATAAAGCATCAATACAAACAGTTCTATCAAACTCTGAATTACTTGTTACAGTTCTAGATTGTGCCAAATCTAATTTTAGCATCATCAGAAATGCAGGTTCATTGCAATACAATTAATAACAGTTATACTGTAATAACAGTGCTGGGATGACTTCTCATTGTTTATTATCACCTACAGTAATTTAAGTTACTAATAATGCCTAAACAAAAGCATAAGCTAAATATAGTTTTAAAAAAGAAGTATAAAACACATAACAAGCACCAAGTTGTGAAATGTTCCTGCTGTTTACAGTCTCATAATATCACTTATTGGTATCTGCCTCAAAACCCCTGGTCAGTCCACTCTTAATTCTACTGCCCTGCTTAACCACAACTAAATATATATTTATTTTATATAATATTATTCTGTATAATTATTTACCACTGTGAATAATGTTTCCCCATATAGCTTTTGGGGTTCTGAGGTATTAGGGACCATATCATACAAGCATAAAACATTAACCATATGCATGTGGAACCTCTCCTCACTCATGTTCTTACCGCTGTCCCTCTCACGGGTCCGGTGAACGTGGAGTGCTTTCGTTTGGCTGTGCCCTGTTCCGTCACTGTGCTTGTTGTCTGGACTGTCTGATCGCCGCAGCATTTTAGTTGGTGGTGTGGAGTCTGACGAATCTCGCATCTTGTCATGGCGATGGTCATTCGACGAGTGACTCTTTGACTGATATTTGACAGACTGCAAAACACAATGCATGAGAAAAGGACTGCAAAGCCCACTGAGCTTGAACTTCTATTCTGGCAGGGGCTCAAATAAATTGAATATTATTAAATCACTAAATGTAATTTTCTAAGTTACTGTACTGCAAATGACATGAAAGAACACCTGGTGCTTTTGAAAAAACACAAATAGGATGTTTATTAAAACTAGATAGGGAGCTAGTTGATCTGCACTCTTGTCGGTGTTTGTTAAGCTCATCAAGTCACTATAAAATGTAATACTAGATCTGATAAGGCCTAACAGTAAATGAGAACGATGTGCTATTACAGTTTATATTTGTTGTGAATCCCGTAATTATGATAGCTAACTACAAAACAAGCTTGCACGCAGAGACGTGAGCTCTCTAGTCACACCATTACCTCGGTATAAGCTACTATTTTAGTTTAACTCTAGAACAATTTGCCAAAAGCAAATAATTGACCTCTATTACCTACAAAGTATGACGCGTAATGTATATCATAGTTTCAGTTAGCAAGCAGGAACTAGGCCTGTGAGCACTAGTGTTATGCTAAAACCGGCTAATCCAATGTTGACACTATTTCGGCTTCTCTCCCAAATATGTGTCTACTTTCAACGATAAAATACTTCTCTGTGTACCTGGTAGGCTTGAGGATCTCTTCGATCATTACACCTGTGAAAGACAAAAAAATTAATATAGTCAGAAACGCGCTCTCTGCTAGCCAGCTACAATGCTAACGTAGAGAAATTACAACTTGCTGTTAGAGGGGGGAAAAAAACTACTTTGAAAGAATTTCTTCGAACATAATATGCACTTAGTTTAGGCTTTAAGCGATTAGCTGAAGGGTGTAAACTGGAGGTAAATGTGTGATTACCCATCATTGAGTCTGGATGGATTCGTTGCATGCATTACCATTAATGCTGCAGTGATGTGGAAGTGAAGTGTTACTACTGAAGCAGTTCTGCTGCACTACAGCTCTCTTTAGTGGTACTGCCTGCAAACACACACTACAATATCTGTAAAAGTAGGCTCTGCTGCAGTGCTGCTTCGCTATTCGGGAAAGAGCTGACGGTCCATCGCTTCGTTGTGCTCGCGACTGCGCCCCGCGAGTGCACGTCACGAGCAGAGACTAGTGCTCGCGATCAGCGCGCGACGTGCACGAGCAGACGACTGCAACCTGCGCTCGTGCACCTCACGGAGCGACAGTAGCATTTGAGGTTTAAATGTGCTAAACTTGTTTAACTTAAGCTACAAGATATTAAATACATTTATAGAAGTACAAATCCTATTAAAAGTAACGTTCAGCTGATCTCTGTGTACAGTATTTCAGTTTCTCCATAGATGGGCTAGAAGGTTCAATAGTGTAAGGATAGAGTTTATATGCACAATGTTTATACAGTGTATACGTAATGTAGTTTAGGACTTCATAATGAAAGTAAACTCGACTGGGGTACGCTCTTCTGATACAACAGGGCTAAAACGGAGCATAAAGGCGCATTTGATATTATTATTCTTTAAACCACTAGATGGCACCAAACCACCCCTTTTCTAAATATCTGTGGCTGACTGGTCTTTGACGCGATCGCGGGCATCGGCGCAATGTTGATTGTGCGTTTAAGTTTGGTGGCTCAGAATTTCTGTTAACGTGTGACTTTAATATTTCTAAACTCGCTCCTAAATTGTCCAAATTCCACCAGCAAGCTTTATTAGCTTGGAAAATTTGCTACTCGCACAATTTATTTATTTTTTTAATGTAAAATTGTCCAAAACTTTTGGATGGAATTAGCAGAATGTATTTTTAATTTAGTAAAGGTTAATTACTTTTTACATTAAAGGACATTATTGTTTATTATGAAAACAAAATTAACAAAGGATGAATAAATTGTTCATTTATTTATATTGCTGGCAAAACATTTTTTGACATAAGCAAAAATGTTTAAATTCCTCAATTGTTTATCTTGTTTATAGTTGAATTTGTTTGTTTTATGTCTTCTTTGAAATTGTTGTTGTTGTTGTTGTTGTTGTTTTTAAAGGCATTGACATGTTTAAAATGGGGCCTATTATCAGTGTTGGGGGTAACTCATTACAAGTAATGCGAGTTACGTAATCAGATTACTTTTTTAAAGTAACTAGTAAAGTAACGCATTACTTTTTTAATTTACAAGAAAATATCCGAGTTACTTTTTCAAATAAGTAATGCCAGTGACTTTTTCCCATTTATTGACTGACAGCTCTCCTGTCCCCATATTGGGAGAAATCGGGAGTACAGAGGCGTTGTGTGCGCTGTGTGAACATGATGTTACTGTAGTTCTAGACTAAATGTGAATGTGCATTAATTCATCCCACTCACAAAAAACAGATTTAGTATTCATCAAAATGAATTAAAACTCAGAATATGACGCAAACCTGCAATAATTAAATGTTAAATAACACAAATGTATCTAATCCCATTTTATTAACTGATGTCTTTGCTGCTGACCTTTGATGATCCAGTTCAACCATACTAATAAGCAAAGATGACTTTAGATATACTAACAATTGTGCTTTGTTTTTTTTTATTGCTGAAGAGTGTTTCTTCTCCTGCGTTCTACTGTACAGACTTGAATTTACTTTTGCTTCAGCCTGAGGTTTATTCATTACACTTTTTGGTGTGAAAGGGCTTTTACATTTGCTACAAATAGAACTTCTTATATTAAAAACAATAATGCATTACTTTTAAAAGTAACTTTCCCCAACACTGCCTATTATGATAGTATTTTTGGATCCCTGTTACCACTTAGGATATTATTTTATGCTATGCTTTTTCAATAACTGAAGAATATTGAAATACTCTAAAGAATATAATAACTGAGGTATCTGGAGTATTGTTGGTGCTAAATGAACCAGTAATTGACGTGATAAAAAAAGTAGCGTGGCTGACTATTCCGTTTGTTGACAGTAAATGTTTAGAATCAAATAGTCAATATCATTTATTATGTTGGGTATCCACCTTGGAGATACTCACAATATTTCTAATTAATTTGAAAATATTATGTTTATCATATGATGTTACAAAAAAAAGCATATTTATTGTTGGTATAAAATGATTATGAGACGACCTTCAAGCAGTGTAAAAAGTTTATTATTATTATTATTATTATTATACAAATGTTATCATTATAAAAATGTATTTATTATTTTATTTTATTTATTATATTATTTTATCTACCAAAATAAACAGAAAATGTTACAGACTTTGCTGGAGTGATTGTTTTAAACAAGTATTGACTGAGATATTTTACTAAATATATTATTTTAGCTATTTATCAATACTATGTTGTCTATTATTTTATTTACTATTTTATCTTGAAATAAGAGGCCCCCCTCACCACATTTAGATACATGTATATGTTTTTAAACAAAACATGCTTTTATGATTTCTTTTCCACACGAAAGTTGCTCCATCAATGTTGAATAAAAATATCATTTTTTTTCTCTGCAGTCATACAGTGTGGGAGCACTGAAAAGCATATCATTAAGGTGTGCAGCCTTGTGCCTGTTGCCCCATTGTATACATTTTGAAGATGTGCAATGATTGTTTTATAAGAAATTACCTAAAATCTAAATTCTACCCAAATTATCTTAAATAAATAAATATAGCGTGTTTAAGCATTGCATGATATTTTCAGTTGGTGACTTATCAACATAATTATTGGTAAGCTAATATTTATACTAATATTAGTTTACATAAGTAGAAAAATAAAATTTTTATTGTTAGTTTATTTGTTAAATTTCATTAGTTGCAAACTAGTCCAGCACAAGAGAGACATCTCTGGTGTCCTTTGATTTCTTCTATAACTGGACTGCAAGGGGCTACAAGGCCATTTTATCAACTATTTATTTAAAATAGTCAGTAGTCAGTTAGGTCAGTAAATAAATGTAGTTGATTTTTAATGTGTCTGTTTCACTGTTGCAGAAGGCTGAGGTTTATTTGTGCTATATTGGAGCTAAAGAGGTCAAATGCTGTGCTGCTTTATTGAGTGTGTCTGCTTGTCTGTTCTATTTAGGTCATTATTGATGATGATCAATCTGCCTGATAGTTTGTGAGTGAGCCTCTGTCACACTTCATGCAGAGTTTAGAAGTGAACTACCAGACAAGACCATTACTGGAACCTCATTCTGCAGGCCAGGTAAGCTGTAGAATAACAAAGTTTGATTTCTGATACAAATAAGAGTTTCGTGTCAGTCATAGCCCCCCTTTTTAATGTTTATAGGGTCTTATGAGAGATGCTTGAAAAATGATAAGTTATCCTACTATAAATGCAGACCACGTACTAGTTAAGTTTTATCATACAAGTTGGGTCACACTGACATTCTTAATCCAGTACCAAGTGAACCAATTTGTATTGATACAACAAAAAGAACAGTGTGCTATTGCAGTTTGACCATATTGACAGTTAGTGATTTGGTATATATGAATGATATATTATATATGAATGATTTCACAAAACAAACTGTTTATATGAGCAGACGTAAATAATAACATTACATTACAATACAACTTTTTTGAGACAGGAAATGCAAAATAATTATTTTTAATTTAAAAATTATATTTACAGCAAAGGAACAATCTGCAATCTTCCAATTATAATAATATAATAGTTATATTAGTTATTTGATCAAAAATACAGCAAAAAAATAGTGAAATATAATGTTCTGCAATCTTTAATAATATAATAGTTATATTAGTTATTTGATCAAAAATACAGCAAAAAAATAGTGAAATGTGAAATATACTACAACTTAAAATAAGTTTTCTATTTTAATATATTTTAAAATGTAATCTATTCCTGTGATCAAAGCTGAATTTTAAGCATCATTATTCCCATCTTCAGTGTCACATGATCCTTCAGAAATCTTTCCAATATGCTTAAAATAAAATAAAATAAAATAAAATAACTCACAGGGCCGGATGTGTCTCCCTCCTCGCCGTTCTCCAGGTACAGGGCCCGGATGTGTTTCTGAACATCACTGTAAAACATGGCCTCCCAGAACTGCATGTTCGTCCACACCATGTGCTCCTGAACGCAGCTGTAAGCGAACTGAGTGATGCCTCCACCCAGTTTCTGAAACACACACAAAACAGATGCTGTAAACTCACATGCTCAAGTCAGAGAAAAATCCACCTTTTATCCAGCACTTTTATTAGAACAGACATGCATTCATCACTCATAATTTAACTTCTCAAATCGGTAAAATATGTCCACTTAGCCAGTCATTATCACAAAATATGATGGGAACATTATCTCACTTATTATATGGCTATCTACCAAATAAATAAATAAATGTACATGAAATATTTATTTGAATTGAAATTATTTTATTTAAGCTCCAATTAGCTTAAAGCTAAGCAACAACCCCAATACTGCAACATAATAACATTTTATTTATATGTGTGTGTGTGTGTGTGTGTGTGTGTTTTTTACATAATTAATCTGCAATCCAAGCTACTTTTTCTATGAACTAGTTAGTTAACATATTTAGTTGCAATAACAAATTCTCCTCTATTTGAGGTTCTCTCTCTTCTTCATCTTCTTGTCTCTTACTGATTCCCCGTTCTTCTAGGAAATGCTGCTGATGTCTTACTTTAACTTACCTCTTGCGCTTCTAGAAAAACAAAATATAGTACACCTACAAATACTCATTCACATCTTCACTCACCCGACAGAAGGCGGTGACCAATGGCAGCAGTGCAGAAGCAATACCATGTTCATCCATATGTGAGCAGTCCTGAAGATAAAAATAGAAGCGGATTTCATACACAGACATCAAAACATTTGAATAACACAATTTATGGAGGTAAATGATGATAACATAATCAACAACAATCATAGACGAAACCAAAACAACATATTTTCCCCTTCCTTATTGCAGCACTACAATCCGAGAAACACCGGTAAACACTCGGTATCTGATTCCTTGAAAGAAAACATTCCTGTGTTTTACCTGCAGGGTGCAGTTCATCATGCGGATGATGTAGTCAAACTGTTGGTCGTCTAGAACGGCCCTGTTCTGCAGCACGTGCAGGTTGAGCTCCTGGGTCAGACAGACCCGCGCCGCCCGACCTTTCAGAGCCCGTAACACTGCCGGCATTAACTGCAGACACACACAAGTTAACACACTCATATACACAAAAATAGACTAATTGGCAAAGCTGAATTTTCAGCAGCCATTATTCCAGTGTCACATAATCCTTCAGATATTATTTTAATATGCTTATTTGGTGCTCACAAAACATTTCTTATTTTTATTTAGCAATGCTGAAAACAGTACTGCTTAATATCTTTCTGGATTTTATTTTTCATAATTCTGCGATGAAGAGAAAGTTCACAAGAACAGTGATTATTTGAAATAGATTTTTTTTTTTCTTTGTAACGTGTCTTTATCGTTACTTTTGATCAACATAATGCATCCTTCTTGCTAAATGAAAGTATTAATTTCTTTAAAAAATTCTTGACCTCAAATGGTAGTGTATATGACAATGAAATAATACCAATATCAATCTTTTGCATTGAATATTAATTGATTATTCTTTATTTTTTTCTTCATAAGCAGGGCCTTTATCTGTTGTCTTTCTGTATATCATCATGATAAACCGATCATCTGGACCAGGAGGTGAGCAGGATGTTTAAGGGTCATGAATGTAGTTTGGTACTTGTGTATACTTTGGCTGCAGGCTTGAGTCTGTGGAATGTGGTTACTCTACGGCATTATTTCAGAGGTTGTATGAAAGGTTTGTGGTGTCAGTTTGTATTTTGTGTCTCATTTGAAAGCTCTCAGTTTCAAGTCTGGTGCACCTCTCCTAAAATGTAGGTTAATAATAAGGTAAGTAAAAAGCAGTTATATCTGGATCTGCGTTTAAGCATTCCATTTTAGTTTCACTATAGAGGGCGAGAGTAGAGGGCAATATGTGAATGAAACAAATCATTAATGTCCTACATTTACATGTCACTTAAATGAAAGAAAATGTACAGTATAAGAATAGAAATGAATAATTCAGGGTCTATTAGAGACTATTAGAATGTTTGTCATATTCCTCTCATCTTTAGGTGTGTGTAGGTTGCTGGCCTCTTTGCTTTACGGGCTGGAGTCTCATATGGACACCTCAGAGGACAGCACTTTTCTACAGGACATGCTCATGGGCAATACTCTGCATCTGCTTATTAAGGTCAGACTTTTTATTTTAGCAGCATCCAGTATATGAGTGTTGTTAGCCCACTTTAGTGACTGCTGTTTGCCAGGGCTATGACTTGAATTGGGTGAAATTATTTAGATCAAGTTGCTGGCTTGACCATAAGAAGGTGCACCTGCACATTTACACAATCACTCTTCATTCATTCATTCATTCATTCATTCATTCATTCATTCATTCATTCATTCATTCATTCTGTGACTCACTGACTCATTCATACACTCACTGTCTTGATCAGACACTCACTCACCCATACATTCATTCATTTATTCACCCAATCACTAATTTTTGCATTCACTGACTTCAGGCTGGAATACACTACATGATTTTGAAGATTTGTGCCCTGGTTTGCACCTTGGATGAGTCAAAGCTAGCTGCAGAAAGTCAAAGTCATTTTGCAGATTATGAGCAGTTAGAGTTGACAGATTTCTTGGAAAACTGTAGTGCATGATGGACACAAAATCTGATTGTTTAGCTTCAGACTGGAATTCCATCGAGTCATCACTCTTAAAAGAAATGGTTCTAAATGGTACCAGATTAGGGTTCTTTGGCTTGTAACAATAGTAGAACACTTTTTGGTGTTAAACAGAACCCTTCTTATAAGGTTTGATAAAGAATCATGCTTTGAAAGTGCTATAGGACCTTCAAAGTGTCATAAATAAGTATTTTAATTTATTATAAATAAATGATAATTTAATAATATTTTTAACCATGTATCTGGTCTTATAATAAATTGTAGCCTCAATTAGTGTTTTGCTAAAGAAAAAAAAAGGCAAAATAGATGCAATGAAAATTATGCAATCAAATTCCATTAATATCCAGTCAAGTTCCATTCTATAATGCCTTTAAGTCCATCATGTGTTTATTTTGAGTGGCAGTTTCTTTCTGCAGATGATGAGGTTGTGGGATGTAACAGCATCTAGGTCAAAATACACAAATAGTTTAGAGATACAAAGTGTTTCTTCCAGTAGTTTGAAAAGATTTACTGTATGTTTTTGAAGGGCCAAAGTAGAGTGAGCCTTTCACAATGTTAAATGGAAAAAGTGACAAAGTGATGGGATAGCTTTAATGTTTTGTTGTTCTTCTTGTTTGTTTGTTTGTTTGTTTTTGGTGACTGGGAAACGTTTTCATATTTCAGTTCCTTCCTTCTTTCATTGAGTGAATACTCACTTCAATAACTCATTTCAATCACACATTTGTTCAGTCATTCACTTCCTAACCCTCTGGTATTCCTCACTTACATGGGGTTGTGTATTCCCTAGTTGCTTCTGAGAGTATTTTCAGACATATTAATTAATTTTATTAGATTTTGCATTTGGATATACTGTATATTTAGACATTAAAGATTTTTTTTTAACTGTGGGTGATTTGTGCATTGTAACAACAACAACAAATTTCTGTTTTTTTTTCCCAGTTATTTTTGACTATAAAGATTACAAGTGTGACAATTTGTTAAAGACCATTTAGAAGTTTTTTGTCATGTCCACTGTTTTTATTAGATATCATAGGTACAAAAGTCACCAAGTTTCATACCATTCGGATGGTACATCCAAACATACAGTTTTTCGGTTTAAAATGACCAGAGACCACCAGAGGGTTAATCATTCACTCATTGACTCACTCTGTTTTAATTATGTGCATCGGGCACACTTTAGAATGAAATCTTTTGAAAGCTGAGTTATCCAAACACTGCAGCAAGTGAACACCCAGCATCATCATTTGCTGGCAGACGGGTCTAATGAATCCAGCACATGCTGTCTGCGACACGGAGAGAGGGGGAAGCGAAGAGAAAGGGAGGAGAGGTTGAAGGGGAAGGGGAAGGGTAAGGGGAAGGGGAAGGGGAGACTGTGATAAAAACCCAAATACAGTTCAGCTGGACTGTTGGGTGCTCTGTTTCATTAGTCACATGGATCTGTGAGGTGTTCAGTGCTCCTGCTGGATGTTTCTCTTTGAATGCTAAGAAAGGATCGCATTAAGTGCAAAATTAGTTGTTCCAATTTAGCAGACTTTAAGTTTACCAGTTTGGTATACCAATTGCAGGGTATTTTTATTAAGCACTTAAATATGTAAGTGTACTTGTAATTTGAATGATTTATTGTTATTTATCATTCAATGTGCGTATGCTTTTAGACACTTACATTGTTTTTGCTCCGTCCAAATGTGCAGCCTTCAATTGCTCAGGTCATGCCAATGGTATGACTGAGAGCCATTGAAAAATTACAGAAAAGTAAAACTGCTTTACTAAGTACAACTATTTTACTTTAGCAGTACTGGCCACGAGTACTAAGGACAGATCACACATGGGCTCAATTTGGCTGGTCAGAAAAGGTGTCGGTGTGAGCGCATCGGCGTGAAGGAGAGATGTGAGTGCACGAACTACACTGTTCAAGGTCTCCATTAATTCGTGCTTGTAGTAATTTAATGTGTATACATTTTGAAGCACTGAATCTCTATAGAAATTCGATTCTTAGTGTTTTAAAACGATTAATGGCCGAAATCAACGATTCAGGACAATGATTCATAATCGATGCAAATGCATCATCAGGGTTTCTAATCGATGCATCGAGAAAACGAGTGAATCATTACACCCCTAGTAACAGGTAACATATACGGATATATATGCGGTCATGTTTATTTCGTACTGTAACTAGTAGTAAAGAGGAAGAGATGAGCGCGTTCACTCAAGCTCTTGAATTGAGTCACCTGTATAGCTATGACATCATATCAAATAGTGTCAAAATGACATTTATTGCTTGAATTTCCTGATATAATGGAGATTTTGAAAGATGACATTTTGATTATTATCGAAAGTAACAAAACGCAAAGCTTATTATTGCACAGGAGGAGAACTATAATGTCTAGTGAGCTTTTATTCATGCATTAACTAAAAAAAAACAGATTAAAAGGTAGATCTTGGGATTTAAGGATTGATATCAATTTGTTAAAAGGAAGATCTATAAAATCATGGCAACGCTGTATTAATCTTAAATTATAATAAAGTTTCACATTCTGGTTTTATTGTATTTTTGGTCAAATAAATGCAGCCTTGGTGAACATAAGATTTTCTTTCAAAAAAATTTAAACATTTAGCTAAAACCATACTTTTGAAATGCTTGTGTATGTATGCACATATAGGAAAGTGTGTTTCATGTACTGTAATTTAATCATCTTTTTACCTTCATTATAGTTCATTTTATGAAAAATTAATAAATACAAATATTTCATGTAGTTTTAAATTAAAATGAGGTCATAGAAACCTACATGCAATAATTATAAAATAATTATATAGTTTTATGCGAATTATAGTATGTGAAACCGTAGTAAACTGCTGCTTGAAACTTCCCCCACACACACCTGTTGAGGGGCTATTAAAAAGAAAAGTGTTTGTCACATCGACAAGCATATCTCCAGAGGCAAGCTATGAATTTACTTTATGTGCCAGACATTTCAGCATGAGTCCGAAATGTCTTAAATTGATATACCAATTCTCACCACACAACAACTAATGTCAGAGTCCATCTCAGCAGCGAACACAAACATGCAACTAAAGGATTATACTAAGTATGCACAAAGAGAAAGTTTTTGCTTTTTTGCCATATGACTGTAAAGGAAATCAGAGCTCTTATACTTGTGTTGGAAAATAAGCAATTACACTGCCATTTTCAAACAAGAAGAAACTTTACAAGAAATGTACCATAAGAATTTGAAATAAATATGCAGTCTAAGTCAGAATATACATCATCATAAAATTGTGATTTTGTATATCGAGTTCACAAAATGGCAATTCCCTTATTGTGGAAATAAATATTTAATATATTTATTTAAACATATGTATTTAGATTATTTGTTGGCTTCCTATACGTAAGGTGTGATCTTTGACACATTGATTTGCATTAAGAAACAGCAAGAAACATAGATAGCAAGTCTGTTAAGATGCTTTATGTGCAGTTTTGGGTTACACTTTATTTCGATAGTCCACTTTAGACATTCTATTAACTATAAGTAACTTTGTAACTACAGTGTTAACAGAGAATGTGGCCCCAAACCTACAAGCCAAAATGTATCTGGTTAAAGTGTGTGACATCATCTTTTAAAAAATGTAAAATTGTTTTACTCAATACTGTTATGAAACATGTCCATCTTTATGAGCTCTTTTAGCTGTGTGAGGGCCATAAATATGATTACATCTTTCTTGGCTGATATTCTAATAGCTTTAGCATTGCCTGCACCATACAGTGGATGAACAGACAGATAAACAATAAACACACAAAATGCCATGATTTTTTTTAATGTTACTGCATAGATTTGACTGATATATTACACTTCGGTTACTTCTGCTTATCAGATTGAGTGATATATCACTCACCTAATACAGAGAAACATTTTGCTACTATAGATGAATTTCAGGGGTGAGGGTCAACAGGGTGAACAGTAAACCTCTGGGCATCGGACGGCAGTCTAATGCCACTTCTCTTCTCCTCACAGGTCTATGACAGGCTGCAGAAGTACAGAGTCCAGCGGCCTGCTCCACTGTTGGAAAGCACACAGGGCCTGGCTCAGGACGTAAGTTCTCCTCTGGGGCATCTAGTGGTTTTTGTCTCCAGACCAGAGTGATCAGACAATCCAGCAGAGCTGGGACGGGATTCAGTTGCAGGACCTTTAGTCTGTTTAGTGTTGTCAGTTTGAAGTGTACTGGAAGGGATTACTTGTGAACACCCCAGTGTCACATAAATACATGTGCAGCTTCACAGACACTCATTTATTTATTGCTTTTTGTATTATTATTATTTTTTTAATCTGGCCGTACCTATTTATACTCAAGGCCAAAATTGCATTTTTGTGTGTCAATGCCCAGCATGACCCAATTTTCCCTAAGCTCTTTAAAACGGCAGTGTATAATTTCTACACCACCAGCATGACAAACTGGAAATTAGTTAAAAAATAATTATTGTTTCAAACAAGCTTCCCGAAAAACCCTGTCATCTGCATTGGTCAAAGAAATAAATAGCCCTGTCCTAAATTCACACCACTGGTTGAGCCAATATTGCTACGTCATACTGGTCAGCGGCTTGTTTCAGGAAGTAAAGAAAGATTTGATAAAAAGCTCAGGTTTTAATACAGATTATTTGTTTTATATAATTTATATTATTATATGTCATTATATGTGTACTATTGTGAACGTGAACAATAATAATTTCTGTTTACTTCGCTCAAATATTGAGTTTGGACAGCTGCAGAGAGAAACTAGTAGCCAGACAACAATATCTCCTGTGTTGTCTCCAGTGGTTTCCAACGTTAACTCCAGCAATCTCCAGCGATCTCCTACATCTGCATAAGTACTCCCTTGTGTATGTATTTGTCTCTTCTGCTCCCCTGTGTAATGTGCTGCTCTGATATCCTACGAAAGACATCATTATTAGTATTGCTGCTCTATCTCTGCAATATCTCTATCTCTGCTCATTTACTTAGCTGTCATTATTCTTTAACTGTGCAATAAATACCTGCGATTGGGTTCCTAACATTTTGTCTACCGTGTTTGGTGTTCTGTGACAGAAGGCCAGACCACAACCCACCATGAACCCTGCAGGCACCGCACCCTCGAACCTTATTGATGAAGAGCTCTCAAATGGGCAGAAACGATATGGAATCAAGCTGGTCCTGCCACTCAGTCACTTCAGAACTTCATATCCCATTACTGTGGGGTTTTTGGAGATCCTGTTGGTGATACTTAAGTCAGTGAACAACTCTATCAGTTACGTCAAGGAAAACCTCAATTATAGATTATGCTTTAAAGTTCTGGACCCTCACAGCTGCCAATGACTGGAATGAGCCAACATTGTTGGCAACATACCAACAAGGACTGTACCTAGCGTTGAGGCTGCAACACGCTGCTTACAACAACTCCAGTGGGCTTGCATGATTCATTCAGCTGTCCATCCACGTGGCTCACTGGATGAAGGATTGCCTCAATGATACATCTCACCTGCACCTCCGATCTTCATTCCCAGCCAGCTTTGTTTGACTCTCCAGAACCAGGCCACAAACCGATGCAGATTTGCACTTGCCCTCTCTCCTCGGCAGAGCGTCAATGCTGGCGTACCCTTCATCTCTGTCTATATTACGGAGTAGGTAGACATGTGGTATCTACATGTCCTATCAAGCCCCCACAACCTTTAGTGAGTTTTGTCACTTATCGTTATCTCCATGCCAAGCCTTTAGCCACCATTGTAACTCTTGCTGTCTCCAATGCCTCTCAATCTGTGTCTGCTCTTATAGATTCAGGGTCAGCCGGCAACTTAATCTCTGTCGCTCCCTCCACCTCCAGAATAATCCCTGTGAATCTTCATACAAGATCTTCTCAATAATAGGAAAACCTCTGGGTCGTGGCCAGGGCCGGATTTACCTCTTTTCGCGACATAGGCAATACAATTTTTGGGCCCCCCTTCCCAATTAATATAATAGGCCTATACCACCCAATAATATTATAATTTTATTTAATATAATAATATTTCTTAATCAGTGGAAACCGTTACAGTGTTTTCTATCGTAATAAGCGCTTGCGTTCAGTCAATAAAAATCAAATGTAGTTCTTAATTTGTTTGAAAACTGAGAAAGACCATTCCATTAATAGGCGCGGCAACGTGGCCACATTACCGCTTCGGGAGTGCATTATTTGTGTTGAACTAGTTAATTTTTTACGCACCTCATCCCAAACCTTCCATTGCAAATTCCAAAACCTAATTTTAGAGCTAATAACAGAGGCTTCAGCCATTGATATGCAGGCTAACGCAGTTATTAATGCAGTCTAAAGCAGTTATTAGAGAGAGAGAGGGAGAGAGAGATTAAGTGCGTGTGAATACTTGCGTCCCTGCGTCTCTCAGCCGTATTCAGTAGCAGCGTCTACTAATAGCGAATCTTTAAGTTGAACTGCTTCAAGAACCTCGCTACTGAGAAATGTCATGTAGCTTTTCAGCTGCGAAATTATTTTATTGATAAATTCACGAGGCAGCCATAGCTATGAAATATTATATATCTCTTCATTGTGTTTGGGCCCCCCCTGGACGAGCAAGCACAGGCACGTGCCTAGAATGCCTATGCTTAAATCCGGCCCTAGTCGTGGCACTGTCTGTCACTGTGTGGGTCCAGTAAGACTGCAGGTGGGCTGCTTGCATGTGGAAGACATCACTCTCCGGGTTCTGGAAAAGACAACAGCGGTCATCATCTTGGAGCACCCATGGCTCGTTAAGCATTCACCCATAGTATCCTGGTCTACTGGACATGTCCTGAAGTGGGGTCCTCAGTGTTTGTTTTATTGCTTTCCATCAGTTCCTCCATCCAAGTCGCCTGTGCTTGAAGTCAATTCCATCTCCATTGAGAGCCCAATCGAACAAAAGTCTGTCAAAGCTCCTTCCTGTACTTCTCACTTCAAGGAAGCCTTCTGCCCCAAGTGAGCCTCCCAATTATCACCTCACTGACAACGGAGCTGCGCTGTTGATCTGCTGCCTGGTGAACCAGTGCCTAGAGAAAAATATTTATCCACTGTCATTCCCAAACAGAACTCCATGGAAGAGTACTTGGAAGAAGCACTATCCCAGGGCTACATTCATCCATCAACATCTAGTTTCTTATTTGAGGTGAAAAAGGACAGAGTATCTGCATTGATCACCAGTCTCTTAACAAGCTTACTGTTAAATACAGGTACCCTCTTCCCCTCATCCTGGCTACTTTGGAATTGTTGTGTGAAGCTATCATCTTCATGAAGCTTGATCTTTGCAGCACATACAACCTCATTCAGATAATACATTTGAATGGAAAACAGCTTTTGTGGCCCCTACACTACTGCGTCATCCCATATGACCTGGTTAGTGCCCCCTCTGTATTCCAAGGGTTCGTGAGTGAGGTGATCCGGGAGTACCTCCATCGCTTTGTCCTGGTTTACATCAATGACATTCATTGTATATTCCCGGAACGAGACTGACCATTGTCACCATGTCTCAATTGTGTTGGCCAAGCTGAGGGAATACCATCTTGACCTCAAAGCTGAGAATGGTATATTCCATTAGCTCCCATCAGTTCTTTGGATACCACCTTAGCCCTAAAGGGGTCAAAATAGATGAGGGGAAGATAGAAGCAGTAAACTCCTGGCTCAATCCTACAACCTCGACTTCTACAATTTATACCATTGATTCATTAAAAACTACAGTATCCTGTCGGTGGCGATAGCCTTGAGGGTAGTGCACCGACATACAGCGGCTACAGGCATCCCGAGTTTGAATCCCGGCTTGAGAACCTTTCTTGATCCCCCTCTCTCTCCCACAATCCTTCCTGTCAACTCTGATCTGTCCTATCATAGTAAAGTGAAAAATGCCAAAGAAAAAAACCTACACAGTATCCTAACTGTTCCAATTACCTCCATCCTTGGATCCAAGTCCAAGTCTCTGTCCTGGACCCCAGAGCTTGACCAACCTCTCTCAGCTTGGCCAACACAAGTGCAACATGGTGACAATGGTCTTAGGAGTGCACAGTGGATGTCGTTGATGTAAATGTGGACAATGGTATGGGACTGTTTTTCAGGGGTTGGGTTAAGCCTCTTACATTCAGTAAAAAGAAATCTTAAAGGGATAGTTCACCCAAAAATGAAAATTCTGTCATTAATTTCTCACCCTCATGTTGTTCCAAACCTGTAAGATCTTCGTTCATCTTCGGAACACAAATTAAGATATTTTTGATGCATTCCGAGAGCTCTCTGACCCTCCCATAGACAGTAAGGATCCTTACACGATCAAGGCTCAGAAACATAGCCAGGAGATCATTAAAATAATCCATGTGACATCAGTGGTTCAACCGTAACTTTACGGAGCTACAAGAATACTTTTTGTGCGCAAAGAAAACAAAAATAACGACTTTATTCAACAATTCGTCTCCTCGTTGGCCACCCTGTAGCGCCATTTTTGAGAGTATCACATACTTAAACAACATATGCTGTTCTGTGTCAGCAGCTCCGAATGTGGATATGCTGTTTACGTTGTTTATGCTTTGATCTGAATGTAAACAACCTATCCGCGTACATACATCGCATACATTGTTTACGTATGTTATACTCAATGCTTCAGTGTACCCCACTGTGCCCCAATGTACAAAGCAAGATTCATAATCTTCACAAGGTTCCTATGTATTTGGAAAGTCACTGTTGGTGTAATGGTCAGGTGTCCCGATATCCGGATTTGGTGCTCAAGAAGAAACATTTTTTCTTATTATAAATTATATGTTATTATAATAGAGTTTTTGATGCTTAATCACCCCTCCCCTCCACATCCCCCTCCAAAAATGTGATACACTATACCTTTCACAAGTTTGGGGTAAGAATTTATTTAAAATAAATAAAAATTTACAATACATACTTCTAAGCAGAAAAAAACTTTTCAACATTGCTAATATTAATGCTAATAAATGTTTCTTGAGTACCAGATAGATACATTAGAAGGTTTTCTGAATGATCATGTGACACTGAAAATGGATGTAATGACTGAAGATGACACAAGAATAAATGACATTTTAAAATATATTTAATTATAATTTTGGTAAGCAGAACTATACTGACTATAAAAATTGTTAATTGATGTTTTGCTTTTTGTGAAGTATTTTCATCACAAAAACAGTTGGATTACACTTCAACCTCTATCTTTCCTCATTACAGTTACCTTCCTTCAACAGTATTCACATTTCTATTATAAAACTAAAGTTTTTCCTCTTCCTTGCACACCTTGCAAAAACAATCAGCTCTGACTTTATCAACTCAATTCTGCAGAGACTCTTAAAAGAAAGATTATCTCCAGCTTTTGACTGTGCATGCTGTATTTCATTAAGGCAAAGAGTAGTTTTAAAGTGATATCACTTTCCATCTTCTCTCGGACTGAAAATGAGGAGGACATTTTGGAGCATTAAGCCGTTAAAAGCATTTTCCTTACGTCGCAGCTCAGTATAAAATTTCAGTTTTGGAGATTTAATGCATGTTTAATGTCAGGTCCGGTGTCACTCAGAACCACATTCAGTCAAGTTGGTTGTTCCTTGGCTGAACCACAACAGAAACAGCTATTTCTCCAGGGCTCCTGGTACTGTGGCATTTTGACCTGCTATGCAAACATTCGCATAATATTGTCAAGTGGGTTGGGATAGACTGAACCAGACCCCCGAGCATGGCCAAAGCAAACTGGCACCAGATCAGTTCATGATACCTGGAGCATAAACTAAGCCAAATGGGCTGGTCAGAGATTTTTGTCTGTTATACCATATCGTATAGAAATTATTAAATGTTTAATTCTTCTTATTTTTCATTCCAGTTGGCAGAAGAGCTGCGCTGTGTAGTCGCCAGCCCAGAGACAACAGAGTTGTTATACCTGCTCTCTAAACCTCATGTACAGGTGAGAAGAGAATGTACATTTAGGTCAAGATTTAGTGACAATCACAAAAAAAGGCAGAGGCTTGACTGACATAAAGGCTTGACTGAAAACAGAAGCAAATAAAATAATCCCTGCATTTATGGTGGGCTGGTGTCAATAGACAAAGTACATAAATAGTATTTAGCAAAAATGTCATGATAGACACAATATATAGTTGATAAAATATGGAAAATATACATTACTATTTGACTCCAAGCATGAACTGGATAAAAACATTTTTTAAAAATCATCTTAAGGCCTGTAAAAATCCAGACCCACACATTAAGTTTATTGAGTTCAGGAGTTTCAGTCATGAGAGCTTTGACAGCTTTATTTGTGATTGGTCTAATGATATGTTGCTTCTTGGATCGTTTGTTTGGCTCTCACATTTTATAAAGCAACACTGGGTTGCCTCAGTAAGGTGATATTCAATGTGGAAAGATTCTTTATCAAGCCAAGTGTAAAGACCAGTTGATTTACCTTTTGATTTTCTGAAAATATTTTTATTTTTATATATATGCTACTGTTCAAAAGATTGTGGTCTGTAAAATGTATTATTTTTTTTGAAAGTCACTTATAAAGGCTGCATTTATTTTATTATAAGGCTGCATGGACAATCCTGCCCTACATTTTTTTTCTCATTCAAAAAGATGCTTCACTCGGATGTACATATTCATTATACATATTATTGTTTAAAAAAACTGTGATTTGTAACATTCCGTCACACATTATCCCTTACAAATGTGGCTGACTGAATTCCTAATTCCTCTATGTTTTCATTATCCTCTTCAGGCTCTTCTCTCAGTGCATGACATGGTGTCTCAGAAAGAGTTTGACCCTCGTTTGCCTCCTCTGCCCCCACTGCCCGATTACATCGAGAAAGAAGAAGATTCAATCAAGATTGTTCGCTTGGTTAAAAACCAGGAGCCACTGGTGGGTCCCTCTGAATAAAATGAGTAAAAACATAGGAAAATAGTCCATGTTGGTTAAAACAGGTTTGTAGTAGTAGGAACTCAGCAGTTAATAAGTCATTATGGACCGTCATCATATCTACAATCCATTAGAGATATCTGCTTCAGCTTTAAATGTAAAGTGCATTGGTCTGCCTTACAACATCAAGATACATTTACAAACTCATTTCTGAAGACTATTGCTTGAAAAGATCATTCATAGATTAACTTTTTACATGAATTAAACTGTGAGTTATACTTCATGTTTATATTAAGGTACTGACATTGATTAGGAATCAATTTAAATCAACCGAATCAACTAAAATTGATTACTTCACTGAACTGTTTTTGATTGTAATCAGCATAACACTAATAAGGCACACATTTTTAAGGGTAAGATTTGGATTATAATACTAAAGAGTATCAAAGTGCAACCTGGATCAGTTTTGCCTTCAACTTTACCTCCAGAATCATATTTTCCATCTCTGAGCAAAACCATCTGCACTTACATTTGTGTTGCTTAGATGGGATGCTTTGAATACAAATAGGAAACGCTATACAGCCCTCTGCAAATAAAATGCATGACTTCAGATTGAACCCTCTCAAACAAAGTCTATCTTTTTATTGTGGTTTATCCTTCTCATTCTGACGCACAATGTGGCTGTCTTCCCATTCATAATGCATAACTTGTAAAATGCAGATTTTCCCTATTATGAGTCTTTTCGTCTGTAACATCTTTTGAATAATGCTGAAGGCGGCAACCATTTGAATGGAGCTTTATGAATTCCAGAGAATGAATGGAAAAAGCATCATAATTTTTTGACACGACTGTGACGAAGAGTCCCTCCATGCCATCCGCTCGCTAAACTGATTTTTTTTCCATTGTTGTATATCGTGATTGTGATTAGAATGGAATACTCTATGATGAATCAGAGAACAGTCAAATTCACAACATTTCCAAGCAGTCTGGTGGGAACAAGAAGATGCAGAGTGTCACTAAATATACTATACTGTTTTATTTTAGTTTTGTCATAATTGAGTTGAGTAAAAGTGACAGTAAAACTTTTACATTGCTACAAAAAAGGAAATTATAAAAAATCTATTGTAAATAGATTGTAAAGTTTGGTGCAGATTGGACATTGCATGTTTAAGTTAGTGTAAAACAAGTCGTTTCCTGTTGCCAGCAGATGATGCTATGATTATAACAGAATATTTGCCTTTACATGTGTTCAGGCTAGGACTCTTATCGAACGTGTGAAGTTTGGAGCAGATCGGACATTGTATGGCTGAGTTACAACAACTTCCTTTTCCATGTCGAAACATCAAACTTTTTCAGGCCACCACAGACAAGCCCTTTAACAAAAACTCTAGATCTTCACAATTTAACATTGCAAAGGCCTTTAGAGTAGACTGACCAAATATAATGTTGATGTCATTAAATCTCTAAGAGGAGTTTGTTAGAGTGTAAAACATGCCACTTCCTGTTGCCAGCATGTGCACTATGAATATAACTGAATATGGCCATGGGCATGACAGGACTCTTATCAAACATGTGAAGTTTGAGGCAGATCGGACATTGTTTGACTGAGTTACAGCAACTTCCTGTTTCATGGAGAAACATCGAAGTTTGTCAGGCCGCCACAGAGTCGCCCTTCAACGAAAACTCAAGATCTTCGCAATTTAACGTTACAAATGGCTTTAGATTACACTGACCAAATTTGGTGTTGATCTGTTTAAATCACTAGGAGGAGTTTGTTTACATACAATGCCGGAAAATGGTAAAAACGGCACAAAACTTACTTGAAAACGAGAAAATTCAAAATAACAGACTGCCTGTTGGGTTTCGGACTTCGCACCAGGAGACTTTTTTGTAGGTATTGGTGTGTTACATGTGTCTACCAAATTTTGTGCATGTATGTGAAACATAGCTCAAGGGGTAATTCGTTGAAATTTTATAGGTGGCTCTATTGAGCCATTTTGTCACACCCACTTCTGAAACCCATGTCAGATGTAATTTTCGCAACTTCTGGCACGTGTGCAAAGTTTCATGAGTTTGAGCATGTTTAGGCCCTCAAAAATGCTATTTATTTTGGAGAAGAAGAAGAAGAAGAAACTGAGCAATTCCAATAGGGTCCTCGCACCATCGGTGCTCGGGCCCTAATAAATCTCAACAGAACATGACTGTTAAGATGGTTTGACCTGTTTAAACAAACTACAGACTACAGCAACTTCTCCATTACAAAATATATACCCCTCAGCGCTTATTTTAAGGTGTGCTTTGAGAAAAATGAACCCCGAGTACTTCATGCCCCAGATTCAAGTCTAAACCTGCAGTGTTAGAAAAGATCCAATACCAAAGGAATCGACTGCTAACTGAGCAATTCCAATAGGGTCCTCGCAGTGCGGTGCTCAGGCCCTAATTACATTTGAAAATATATTCAAATAGAAATTAGAATTTTATTGCAATTTTATTGTAGTTAATAATATGATTATTTTTAATGTATTATTACTATATTTACTGTCTTCTGGATTGTTTCAGTGGTTTGGTATAGAATACGTTCAGTTTCTTGTTTCTCAACTTTGCTGCATAGTGACTGTCTACATGACATCTGAAACCAGTGCTCTGCCATCAACCCAGTAGCATGCTCTGATACTGTACAAACAAAAGTGCCTGCAGTTCCCGTCATCAGAGTTGGTCTGTGCTCGATGTTCCAGCAAAAATATTTGTGGTTTACAGGGACTTGTGTAGTGGAAGTCAGACCTGGCAGATGGGGGTTACCTTACAAATGATGATCAGTGATGTTGCCATTGGGCTACATTAACCTTAAATCTGACTGTTCTCTCTTTGAGCAGGCTATTTTAAAGAGGCACAGACCAGAACCCATCTGTTTTTTCCCCACACCATGAGTAGAGAGTTATAAACATTGGGCCATGGCTTTTCCAATTTCTATTTAAGAAGCATGAGAAGGAGCTAAAAAGTTATCCACAATCTGAAGAGATGTTTTTGTCTTACTTATAGGGGGCTTTAGCCCTGCGATTAAGGACTACAGGCCTTTTTGGCTTCTCCCCTGGTTGAGAAACTATGCAGGGCCCCTAACTCCTATATCATTGTCCCTTGTAGCATCATTTACCTCATTGTCTGCTTCTGCACGGGCTTGTTAAAGCTTGGCCTCCTGAAAACAGTTATCTAAGAGGCCTTTTAAGGATTAAAATATCACCATAGTTTGGACTAGAGTGGTATTGTGGCCACGGTCAGTGTACTGATTGTCTTGGGAGATGATGTGTATGAAATGAAAATTTTGGTACATGATTAAAACAGAAATGATTTTTCTATTCAAGTGATGTGAGATGGTGCTAATGGTTATGGAATTGTAGAAAAACACAGACATGTGTCTAATTCATCAAGGTCAAATCTGATGTGTGTTTAGATCCAATGAACCTGAAAGATTCATTTCATTGGCTGCTGAATCTTCCTTCACACACTAAAAGAAAACGGATCAGATGTTTGACATATAATGTCAACAATCTGTGTGATTTAAACAAAAGCTTTTTTGTCCTAATTTGAGCTTTCATGAATAGGGTTTCCCTCATTAAGTTTGACTTTTTCACCATGGTTTCAAGCAACATTTAATGTTCAGCTCTCACTGCACAACATGCTTAAGATTCCTGTTGTGATATTCACACCTGTATCACCCTTTCTAAAGATATTTCTGTGCCGATTTCTACTTGGACTTAACTTGACACTCACATATTGATTTACAAGGCAAACTGGAAATGTTTGCTTGCAATTGGTCCCTCCAGATATATGAACTTGAGCTTTACAGTCAATTTGCTTTTTGGAACTTTAATATTCGAATTTCTGAATGATAGCCTGCAGAACCTCAGTAGACATTTCTATGTTCCAGGGAGCCACCATCAAGAGAGATGAGTCCACTGGAGCTATAGTGGTGGCTCGGGTCATGAGAGGAGGAGCTGCTGATCGAAGTGGTGAGAAGCATTTTTAATGTATTAATATTAAAACCTAATTAGAACCAAAATCAGTATATAGACATAGGAGAACACTTAAAGTTGACACAAAATGGAAATTCACCATCTTATGGATCTTATTGTGAATGATTCATCCATACTGTACATATGTTTCATTTTTACTCATAGCTCATCATTTGTAATCAAAATGTCATAACTGCCGTGACTTTCCAGTCATTTAGTCCACTAAGCTTACATTCAGATCCGCAGCCATCTGATATTTTTTTCTTGGATGTGCATCACATCTGTCGCTACTCAAAAGTCTTGCTTTAAATATGCATGGCACAGTCCTATACCAATGCTTATAGTTCCCGGTTAAGCTCTTGATTAAATTCACTCCACATTGTTTAACATAATTGTATAATTTGGCTGAAACTTTCTTCTCATTGGTTCATTATTGGTTAATACTACAGGTCTAATTCACGAAGGGGACAAGCTCAAGGAAGTCAATGGTGTTCCAATGGAGGACAAGAACCCAGAGGAGATCATTCCCATACTAGTATGCATCGCAGATTACCAGCATGTGTTGCATTTTGGAAGCTGGTTCCCAGCATAGGATGATATTGTGTTGGTGTCCCCACAAGACATTTTAACTAGCTTAACCAGCAAACCTCTCTTGGTTAACATGACTATGCTGTCTAGGCCAGAAACCAGCAATATCCAAAATAGAAAGTGATGTTAGTCTAAGCTGTATGTGTAAATGTTTTTAAGAATTTGGTATGTTTGTGCATTTGTTGCTGAGGGTTTTCTGGAGGATAACAAATCTGCATTCTGTCTTTATTCATAAGTGTTATTGAATCTGAACATTGTAAGCTTGTTTTGGGCCTGTATGTTATTATCACATCTTCCAGGCCAAGTCAAAAGGAGCAGTGACCTTCAAAGTCATCCCAGGCACCAAAGAAGAGCCAGAGACCATAGATAACAAGGTCTCATTATTAAAATAAAGTGTACAGAACTGTTTTCTAAATTGATTTACACTCCAGATAATTAAAACCAAACTTGGTGACATCAAAATGTATTTGTGGATTTTTGCAGATCTTTGTAAGGGCACTTTTTGACTATAATCCCCAAGAAGATCCTGCTATTCCATGCAAAGACGCCGGGTTGGAATTCTGGAGGGGAGATGTGTTGCAGATTGTAAACCAAGAAGATGACACCTGGTGGCAGGCCAGACGGCACGGTGACGCCAACCTCAGGGCTGGATTGATTCCCTCAAGACAGCTTCAGGAAAGGTAAGAAAACTTACATAATCATACTATTGCAACGTTTCAACTCCAAGTCTAGACTGAGAAACTAAATCCTTCTGTTGTCAGAGTCATACACAGACTTTGTCAGTCAGACTCAGATCCTGTCATCATGTTCCCAGTGTTGAATTAGACACAGTCAAGGGCAACACAATCTGACACTCCCTTAGTCAAACTTTCGCTCATAAAAAGAAAAACAATCAATGTCATCAAAATGTGTCTTTTGTCTGGACAGTTGGTGCCTATAAATGACACCAAGTGATGAGAATATATCAGCCTGCATAGATTTTGTTATTTGTGTGTCTTTGAGTTAATGACATGAAAGTGGCATTGCTGAAAGGTTTACTAAATAACTTGATGTAGTCTCAACATAAGATGACACGTTCACCACAGTCCGTTCACTGACCGTCTGAGGCCAGTTCCCACAAACTGTTAAGCATGTTCTTAAACTGGCATGCTGGCTTTATGGAACTTTCGGGAATACGTTTTTTTTTTGTCCAGACAGAACAGTCTGGTAGTCGATCAAACAAGTACATCTGAGGGTGAAATAATATGCCAGGTATAGCTATATTCTGAGAAAAAGAGTTTTGTTTGTGAATTGGTCTTTTTATTTCTTATTATAGAGTTATAGAAGATAACAGATTCTATTTACATTATATGCTATTGTTTTGTGATATACTATACACTACTGTTAAAAAGTTTGGAGTGTCAGTAAAGACGTTGTTACATTGTTACAAAAAATAAATTAAAGACCGTTCTTTTGAACTTTCTATTCATTAAAGAATGCTGAAAAATATCTCAGTTTCCACAAATATTAGGCAGCACAACTGTTTATAACTGTGATGATAATAATGAGTACCAATTTAGCATAAAAGAATGATTTCTGAAGGATCATGTGACACTGAAGACTAGAGTAATGACTGCGAGAAAATTCAGCTTTGCCATCGCACAAATAAATTACATTTTAAAATATATTCAATATATTGCACTATTACGGTTATTACTGCAATTACAATTCTTACTTTTTAACTATAGTGAATTTAAGCCAGAATAGGCTTCAGTGTCAACCAGACCTACTAATGTTTTTGTCAAATGTTTTGACTATGAGAGACTGAACTTCTTTTGGCTTTGAAGAGACAGCTTTACAGTATTTATGAGGAACTTCCTATGTTTCCCTACAGGAGAGTGACTTTACAAAGGCCTGCAGTTCTGTTCCACCCACTGAGAGAGTCGATTATATTCGGTGGTAAGCTCAGAAATCCAAGCAGTATTGAAACAACATGCAGATAAGACAGCATTTGAAATATCCAAATGCTAAATATATTCACTCTCTCTGGCCCTGTCCCAAATGGTGCACTTTATGTGCACTAGCAAACCTTTCATTGCTGCCATGCATACATACTTGAGCCCAACATGGCAGTAGGGTGTTCCTTTTGTCACTTTAGCTGCTTTGGAGGCATGCAGCCCTCATTGTGCACTTTTTCTGAGCCTTATGTCTTCCTCAGATGTCTCACTCAGCTTAGGCCATCATTTGGGACAGAGTCTGTCACATGTGAAAACTGGAAGTGCAATTAATTTTTATTCGTTTTTTTTTTTTTTATTAGTTCATTTAAATTAGTTACTTAAAAAAAAGATCTCTGCACAGACATCTACACTGCATTCAATTTACCAAATAGTATATACGCTATATGAAGGCATAAAACAAAACAACTAGCCTATAAGACATAAAATTATCAGAACACTTTTCAGGGTAATTTTAAACAAATACAGCATGCATTGTTAATTTAGAGCTCCTGTTGGATTAAATATATAAACAAAGAGCATCCCACACTGTGTTAAAGAGTGATGTGGAAATGGAGTGATGTCACACTTAACATCACTACAAAAACTGTTAGTGACAGTTAGAGATGAGAGCGTGTCTAAGGGTGCCAGGCATCTTCCTGGAGCTGCTCTCTGGAGATGTGAGCTGAATAAATGACCTGATAAAGTCTGAGGAAGTTCTGTAAATCACAGTGGCTCTGCCGGACATATTAAAAAAATGTTTTACTACGTGTGAACACATTCATACTAAGCCATTGGAAAGGTTGCAGTCACACTGTTCAGAACAGTCTTAGTCAATCTTCCATTTTTGCTAAAGACTTCAGCATAGACTAAGCAAAGACAGCAATGTGGGACCTCAGGATGAAAGCAGTTCTCCAGAAACATATTTAAAAACACTGTAAAATTAATTACCACAGAAATGTAAAGGTGTTCTTTCAGTTTTATTGTCATATTATAATGAATATTATTTTACAATAATGTTCAGTAAAGTTATTTTAATAAAGTTATTTTAAAGAGGATTCTTTGTTGAAAAAAACATCATCTGATACTGATATTTTGGATTACATGTAATGCATCTGATATCCATTCCTTACTCAGATTAATACAAGCAAGCTTCCAGCAGCTATTTTTTAAAAATATGTTACATTTGGTATTACAGTTTGGCTTCTATAAACAAGTATGATATCAAAGAATAAATAATGCACACTACATATGAGCTAGTTCATCTGAACTGATGAATAGCGAAAACGATATGCATGCAAAGTAACATGTAGTTGCCATTGTCCTAAGTCTTTATTTTGCTGCAGTATAAATTGTTGAGGAAATTAAATTGGGGTGGAAAATGAAGAAGCCCATAGATGGATCTGGAATAGTTTGATCTCGTCTTGAAAAGCCATTGTAGGTCTGTTCAAAGCAACAGCCTTCCCTATAAAACCTCCATCTGTGGGTTGGATGCGAGGAGAGTGACAGCTGCTCTGCGACTCTGACACGGCGATGATCGACTAGGTCACGTTAAGGCCTCCCCTATAACACACTCAAACACAGAGCTTGGGTTGAAGCAGAAGGTTCCCAAAATGCCACATGTTAAACTCAAGACAGCACCAGCATTTTTACTGGCTCTGTAAAAGCATGAAACACATCATTCCCCAATGAACCGCAGGTGAGGACATAGTTAGGACAAGTTGAGCTTGGTCACAGAAAATTGCAATTACTATTCCAAAAATCCACCCTGGCCACAGCATGATGGACAATTGGACTGAACATCCATGTCTTACCCCTTGGCTGCCATTGCATTGTGGCTTCTAAAGACAAGACCACACACATATTGTAAGCTTTGGATTTATGTTGCTTACCTCGTCCCGTTTGAGAAGTAAAAGCATGTTTGTTCTCTTCCAAAATGATTACATTTTCCTTTCTTTTCTCGATTTACGGTACATTCATCAAAAAAAAAAAAAAACCTTGTCATCTCAATGTTTACATGCTAAAGCCACCAAATGAAAGATTAGAGATGAGCAAAGGTTTATCTAAAAAGTGTTATGAAGTAAAATAAATTCTATCTGTCAAACAGTCAGTCTATTTATCCTCATTGGACCCCATATGCCCCTGCATCTAATCAGCCAATCAGCTTAGAGCTTGTCAGATAGAGAATGTACACTCAGGTCCTGTGAGTAATATGCATAAGCGGTCAGTGAACTAACTGTGAGGGTGCAGTCTAACTCTGTGACCATGATGCTCCAAATTTAGGGAGTAAAAACGACATCACATGTTCACTGATTATACAGTAAGATTGATTGATGAAGTGCTAGGCCTTTTGCTGTATCTAAATGCAGCTTCTTTCTTTAACAAATAGCTATGATGCCTGTGTAACTTGAGAATGAGAATGTATTTCCTGATTATTAGACATCTCTACAAAATGTCAAAAACTTTTTTTTTTATTGTTGTGAGTGCAACATCTGATTGACTATCTCTCTCTCTCTCTCTCTCTCTCTCTCTCTCTCTCTCTCTCTCTCTCTCTCTCTCTCTCTCTCTGTCTCGCTCTCTCTCTCCCTCTTGCCCTTTCATTCACACTGAAAAGACAACATGGAAGGTAATTTTTCATCCTTTTCAGCACGGTCACATAACAGTAACCCAGCTCTAATTTGCCAGTATTTTTGTCTTAGTTTACATCAAGTTTAAAAAACAGTAACATTGCAAATTACCCCTTTCTTTCACCACTTCTTAATTAAGGGTTGCCCAGACTCCATCTCACATTTATCATTATTTGATTAGAGTGCACTTTTTTCTCTTTTCTCTCTAACCTGCTTTCACTCAATAACCAGAGGATGTGGACTATGGAGCAATAAGTGGCATACATATAGGTGAGAATTTATTTGTCTGAATTTTATTTGTAACCTCCTAGCCTGGTATTCATACTTTAAACATTGTAAGCACATAGCCATTGAGTCTTAAAGTTCCAAAAACACACACACACATTACTTTTTTCACTCACTTGTGGTCTACTGCAATACAAGTAATTCCCAGAAAACACATAAAATGTTTATACTGAATCAAAATTGCTTTTGATAAAAATAATCTGTATAAAGATGCATAAATACAAATATGCATTTCTGTTTGACCCCACCGCTAACTCAAATGCAACCAGTCACACTCCTTTTTTACAGTATATGTGACTTGGCCTGTTAGCCACAGTGCTGATGAACAAGACCATTGTTAAAGATATCCATCTCATCCTGTTTCATTTGTACTTTTGCATTATGTTCCCACGCCATTATGAGGATGATGTTTATTCAAGGTGAGGATCATTAGTTTTAGATTTAGTCTGATCTGGTTTGAGCATTTTACTTTTTTCACTCACTTGTGGTCTACTGCAATACAAGTAATTCCCAGAAAACACATAAAATGTTTATACTGAATCAAAATTGCTTTTGATAAAAATAATCTGTATAAAGATGCATAAATACAAATATGCATTTCTGTTTGACCCCACCGCTAACTCAAATGCAACCAGTCACACTCCTTTTTTACAGTATATGTGACTTGGCCTGTTAGCCACAGTGCTGATGAACAAGACCATTGTTAAAGATATCCATCTCATCCTGTTTCATTTGTACTTTTGCATTATGTTCCCACGCCATTATGAGGATGATGTTTATTCAAGGTGAGGATCATTAGTTTTAGATTTAGTCTGATCTGGTTTGAGCATTCATGCTAATGAGAGAGGCTTTGATGGCTCCAGACTGGGTGCTTTGTGCTGGTCCATTAGTGATAAAAGCCATCTGAGAGATAAACATGCACTGCGCTCATTTAGCAGCTAGGCTACCGGATGAGTCTAACAGAGACGCGCCTCATTTTCAGCTCTTTGGCAACCTTGACCCCACTTCAAAAGCCAGCATGTCCACAGCTAATCTCCAGGACACACAATGGCCAAACTAGCATCAGGACTGCTGTGGTCCCTCAAGAAAACATGCTTAAGACATTACAATGGGACCAAGCCATACTGGGCTTATTTTGCCAGCTCCAAAATTTCAGATTTATCACAGCAGCAGCTCAGCAAGCATGTGATGGAAAATTGGATGCCTTTGCCACAGATGGAGAACTCTGGTAGCACTGGATGCTTTTTGAGCAATTGTCAACATTCTTCTATAAATCTATTCAGCAAAGCCCTTGCTAAAATTTAGAGGTGCTGTTCAGAGTAACCACGTGGAGATACAAGGCCCAGGGTATTGTGGGATATGAAAAGGGTCATGAGGGAGAGGTGTGGTGGGATATTAAATTGGGGAAACCTGGAAAAGGTATCAGCAAATCCCAGTAAGATCCAGACATGGAAAAACAGAGACGCATTAAAAACAGGCTCTATTTACAAACCAGATTATTTAATCAGTATGCAGTCCCACATGCTACAAAGAGCCAATAGTTAATGCATGCTTGAAACTCCAGAAAGCTTGTTTACTTCTCCAGATCTTTTGAATGTTTTCGGTGTCAGGTAGCCGCAGCTCATGTGCATTAGCAGACTTCAGTAATATGGCAACTGAAAGTCTTCGTCAAACAGATAATGGTTTTAGCATGCAGTCTGGTGTAACCAACCACATATGATATATGTCATACTTTTTATGTACCGTTTGTGGCAGATAATGTGGACTGTGCACTTGATGAGGTTGCGTGCCGTGTGGTTTCTGAAGAGGCATAACAAAGCGCTCCCTGTCATATTAGCGGATTGTCTGTCCAAATTCCACTGCATGGGATATATCGTGTCTGTTTTGGCTCACTGCTCGCACGTTAAATCGCTATCGATGATTTAATGGCTCATCAGGGGGGCTACATGCATCGCTCCAGGAACGCGAGGGCAGCAGTCTGGGGGTATAGAGGGTATCCAGTGTGTTTTGGAGTATCTCTCACTCTTTCTAAAAGGTATAGTGCACCCAAAAATAAAATTTCAATTAAAGATCTGTCTCTTCTGTATTGTGATGCACATCTGAGTGTAACAGATTATGATAAAAGAAGAAAATAAAGAAGAAGGCCAGGGATTCATAGTCGATTATGGAAGGGCAGGGTTTAAGCAGGCTAAATAATTAGAGAAGTCCAGCATAAGTCAACAGAATCTGTTGTTTTAGTGGAAAATCAAGTTATGGCATTTCAAAGCAAAATTATGAGAAAGAAAGCAAGCATGCATGAATGTATATTTCACAATATGAGTCATCAATATTTGAGTCATCAATATGTTTGTCCAGTTTAAGGAGACATTTTGAATGTATAGAGTACATCTGTTAAAAATTTAATTTTGTCAGCTTTTAAGCATAAGTTTTCAAATGTAACAGGCCCCAAATATGATAATTCCTTTGCAATAGACTCCCTACCTAAAATATAAATGCTATATGTTGTCATGTACAAAGACTCATTTGTACTATATATAATCTTAAACTCATGTAATGCAATTAACTTCAAGCATGTTTGTGCTAAATGAGACAGGTACATTATTTATATAGCGTATTTCCCACACGCAGGTAGTTTATAGTGTTTAAAATGGTTGTTAACATTTTGTTTTATTTACCGGTATTTTACATTATTTATGAATGTAATGATAATGTCACAAAGCAAGGCCGGAAACAACAGGGTAAGTGCAAAACAGGATGGTTTATTGACAGGATATGCAGAGGAATGGAATGGGTGAGGTAAATGCAGGTGAGTGATGCACAGTGAATGATTCTGGGGTTCTTATCTGAGTTCTGATGGTTTGTATCTTTGGCAGGTTCGTTGGAGATCGTGGAACAGTTTCCAAGGAGTCGTTGGAGGATCGCGGGAGAGACAGAAGGTAAGTCTTTCTAGGTGAGTTCAGCTGAGAGTGTCCAGAACAGTCCATAGGAGTGAACGGTAGACTGGACAGTGAGTAACTGATGTGTGTGTATTGTAGTGTGGCTTGATTGGTGACAGCAGGTGCAGGGGATCAGAACTCAGGTGACTGTGGTCGGGGGATTATCCATCTACGACTACCAAGATGCAGTTATAACCGTCTGAGTTGGGTAAGTCAGTCACAAAATCGATTCCCAGGTGAGACCAGGGTCGATGGGGGATCGGCAGGGGCACTAGTTTGCCTACGGGGAGGTGACGAGGGGTCTTGGACATGGCGCAGACTAAGCAACTGCGGACGTACCTGATGATATCACGGGTCATACTGGGCCACCAGTACCGAGCTTGGAGGAGCGAGAGGGTCCATCGGCTGCCTGGGTGTCCAGAGCCCGGTATGTTTTGAACTGAGGACTGAAGTGACTGTGATGAATCCCTGACATTACCCCCTCCCCCAGGGGTGGCTCCTGATGCCCTCAAGCGGCTGGAAGTAGGATGGAAGTCCTCCAGTAGCAAAGGGTCCAGAATGTCGTCCCTGGCAACCCAGGAGCATTCATAATTCTGCTCCGCTGGGGTCAGTTTCTTAAAATAGTATGCGCAAGGCTGGAGGCGAGGAGGCTCACCGTAATGTTGAACCCAGGAGCATTCCTCCGGTCCATAACCATCCCAGTCGACTAAATATTCCAGCCGACCACCCCGTCGCCGTGAGTCCAGGATGTCTCGGACCAGGTAGACGGACGGTTGGTCAAGGATTTCTGGAAGAGGAGGTTCGTCAGATTCGGTGGGTCCTGGAGCAGAGGGAGAGTGAGGTTTAAGGAGTGAAACATGGAAAGTAGGGTGAATTCGGTACCTGGGTGGGAGTCGGAGCTCATATGTGACCTCGTTGATCTGCCTCTGTATCGGGAACGGACCCTTGTAGCAGGGACTCAGCTTCTTACAGGGCAGGCAGAGGCAAAGGGTCCAGAATGTCGTCCCTGGCCACCCAGGAACGTTCCTCCGGTCCATAACCATCCCAATAGACCAAATATTCCAGCCGACCACCCTGTCGCCGTGGGTCCAGGATGTCTCGGACCAGGTAGATGGACGGTTGGTCAAGGATTTCTGGAGGAGGAGGTTCGTCGGGTTCGGTGGGTCCTGGAGCAGAGGGAGAGTGAGGTTTAAGGAGTGAAACATGGAAAGTGGGGTGAATTCGGTACCTGGGTGGGAGTCAGAGTTCATATGTGATCTCGTTGATCTGCCTCTGTATCGGGAACGGACCAATGTAGCTGGGCGCAGAGACAGGGTGGACAGCCATACTTTTTCTCCTGGATGGTAAGTGGGAGTGGAAGTACGCCGAGCATCTGCGAAGGCCTTATGCCTCCGCACTGCACGCTGGTCCATCTGAATTCCCTCCTGGCCGACGATGTAACCCAGGAAATGCACCGTGGGGCGATGGAATTCGCATTTCTCCAGCTTTAAGAAGAGATGGTGTAGTCGGAGCTTCTGTAGGACCTGCTGAATGTGTTGGCGATGGTCGGCCACGTTCCGGGAGTAAATGAGTATATCATCGATATAGACTTTCACAGAGCGGTGGAGGAACTCCCGGAACACCTCGTTCATGAATCCCTGGAAGACTGACGGGGCGTTGGCTAGCCCATACGGCATGACAAGGTACTCATAGTGGCCAGATGGTGTGATGAATGCCATCTTCCACTCGTCGCCCTCCCGGATTCGAACGCGGTTGTACGCGCTTCGCAGGTCCAGCTTGGAGAATATGCAGGCCCCACGGAGTTCCTCGAGGGCGGCCGGGACCAGGGGAAGTGGATAGGGTAGCTTCACAGTATGGGAGTTCAGAGTCCGATAGTCGATACAAGGCCGCAAGCCCCCGTCCTTCTTGCCCACGAAGAAGAAACTAGACGCAGCTGGAGAAATGGAAGGTCGGGTGAATCCTTGGTTAAGAGCCTCCTTGATGTATTCCTCCATCGCCTTGCGCTCCGGGATGGACAATGGGTATACTCTACCCTTGGGGAGTTTGACT